TAAATCTTTATATATATATATATATATATATATATATATACATATATACATACATATATATATATATATATATTGATATTTTATACATATAATTAAAGATAATATTTACTCATTCTTTACACTTCTGTGAGTGCACTAAAGTGTGTTAACAGAGAGCCACATAATTGACATATCTTTTTCCGATATGACATGACTGCCAATCAATGCACTTTCAGAAAACCCTGTGTGTAGATTAGATGGGTACCCTTTACTTCTTGAAATTGGGTATCTTGCTGCCGACCACAGAAAGTATGAAGCGCAAGATTATCACATGAGTAAACATTTATCATTTTCACCAGATTTTGCAATCAGTTTTTCATATTCCTTTACTTCCTTCAGGTAATCTAGAGGTGGCCAGCGATTCTTTGTAACATATCCCATGTTCGCGTCACTTAGATTGCAAAAGTCTGGCTTCTCTTCAAACGCTGTGTAATTGCTCGAGATGAAGTGAAGACACCAGTCGGAGAGCTGTTGTGAATTATACAGCTAATAAGAAAATAAAGGGAAAAAAACACAGAATCAGTTAATAATCTAAAATTAACATAATATTACAAAATATTTTTTTAAAATTTAATTATTCTTTTAAAAATCTAGTTCCATATCCACATTATCAAATTTATTGTGACAAAAACATCTGATTTGCTTATATAGAGTACCACAGTTGTGTCGTCACAACGCCATGTAGCACCCACTATTGCCAACCAGACGTTGGTTACCGTTCATTATGCCTGAATGACTTCATAGGCTTTCTGGAATAGGCATTTTAAAATCTAATATTTTACCAATAAAATCTACTAAAAACACAAAAGCTCGCATTATATTAGTTATCGAACACACATTTAATCATCAATTAAAATTTACAAAGAAAAACTAAGATACAACATCTCAATAATTATGTTAGAAATTGGGATCAATGGTTTGTCAGTGGAGAAAATGGCATCCGGTTGAACACATGTTGCAACAATAGCAATGGAGTACTACCACATGGTATATAGAGGAACTCTGTAGTACTCTATATGTGTATATTACATCATCATGCCCATATATAGATGTGATATGACATCATCATACTCATACCGTATATGGGCAATTGATATAAATTGTGACATCATTAAATTTCCCCAAAGGGTATGTGACAATAACAAGCGATTTTCCCATATGTGTATATATCACCATGCCCATATATGGAAGTGATATGACATCATCATGTCCATATGGGTAACTGATACAAACATGTGACATAAATTGTGATGCCTTCAAATTTTCCTCTAAGGTTATTTTTTTTCCTATCTTAAAATGTTTGACATTAACCACTGTGAAATATCAGGAATAGATTTATGCCTTAACCAGACTATTAAAATTTTATTAAAAAAAAAAAAAACAGGTGATATGCCTAAGTATGGACATGATGACAGCACATCATCACCATATATAGGCACATCATGACTATATATAGGCATACAACAGTTAAAAAAAATTTTCAAAATTACTTGAGCTGTGTTCAGTAGTCCAATGACATCAATATCAGCACCTGCAATGCTATCTGCTGTGGCAACCTCTACTTCCTTGGTGATGTACAACTCGCATAAGTTCTTCAGACGAGGTTGGCAGAACCGATCACCAAGAATCATAATTCCAATAGAGTCTTTGCCTTCGATTGGTGAATGGTCCGTGTATAGGTACTCCAGAAGAGCAAGAAAATTCTCCAGAGTTGCATCTGTTATGGAAACTTCCCCAGAGTTGCCGTCAGCGTAGTTCCCGCTAAACATGGCCGACATGACTTCGCTTCTTGTTGCTAGAACTATCTTATGAGCAAACACGGTTGTACCTACATTTGAAAGATATGTGAATTTATAATTTGCGTTCATAGAAATACAGGGGTCCCAAGTTCGAAGAAATCCTTTTCGGGAGATCTGGTTAAATGAGCTTTCTAAACATAAATTTAATTTAATTTAATTTATTTTGCTGTGCATGGTGATACCAAACGGAACTGACTTCTGTAAAGTAGTTAAAACACAATCTACAAATTCATATTTTTTTTTGCTTGCTTCCGGGAATCCTTAGAGATTCTCAGGACTTCCCAGACACTTGGGATCTCCCAAAAACTTTTAATAAAGGCTGGAAAACCATGTGGGGGAGTCGCTTTTGTTGACAACACACTGACCATGCGGCAGGTAGTACTGGGCTACATGGTACCAGTAGCAGGTCTACAACCTTACGAACAGCTTCAACAACAAAAATAATAACAATACTAATATTTTTGAATATGAGTGAAGCCGATCAGTCAGTGCACCATACAACGGTCGTACAACTTTCGTCCGGCGAATCCAATTCCAAGAATTCAAATAAGCGATGCCGTCTGCTGATTGTCAGCGGCAGTCTGAACAATCTGTTGCAAGCGTGTCGCATTCTCTATAGAATCGCGTCGGTCAAAGACCGTCGGGTGTAATGAGTGCTTGGCTTAAGTAAAATCTGAAAGAAACATACCTTCTACATTGAACCTGATGTCAGACAATCCAGATTGGTTTAGAAAGATCTGCTTAGCTTGTTTACCCATCTCATCATTAAGGAAAGTTCCAATGCTTGGATTCAGAAATTCCTCATCATTCTCTATGTTCTTGATCACTTCTTCCAGTCTTGGTTCATCAAAAATCCTTGAAACTGCTTTCAATTTATCAAGCTCTTCCTGGGTTTCATTCTGCTCTAGGCATGGCAGTCCTGCAAAAATTATAATTTTTGAATTATCTCAAGAGAATCAAGAATCAACATTCAATTATTTATTGCCACAGAAAAGATTATCGGTTATTATTTGCCAAACAAGCAGCAAAAATGTACACAAGCAAATACAAAATGAACAAAGTTTCCCACCCTTACCAACCTACCCAAATCATATATTATTGGGGTTGGGGCGTTACCCTGCTAAGGTCCTATTGACCAGTAAACCCAGCAAACTATACTCATTATGTTGCCACTTTTCTGTTTATAATAAATAATCGTTCAGAGTCAGAGTTCAAAACAAAATACCTGAATAATAAAACTCAAGCAAATGCTTGAAAGACTTGTACGAAATGTCAGCGCTGATTGTGACAAACGTCTTCATAGACTTATCATCATTCTTTTCCTGTAATATTCCAGCGAGTCCTTGAATCTTCCCTTCATTAATGGCACTTGGCTGGAATGGCTTGTCTGAGTTGTTGACCTTTTTGTTATTCTGTTGAGCGAATAATTGACCTCATAATAAATGCATGCATTTAAAAGTGAATTTCTTCAAAATGGAAAAAAAAATAATAATATTCAAATAATTTAATCTGGTTACAATATACAAGAGTTATTTTTCAACTGAAAACATTCTGAGTTAATACTCATTACCATTAAATTAGTTTAGAAAAAAAAAAAAAAAACTTAACAGAAATATTAATACAGTATTAATAATAATTATCATCAATATTGGCCATTAACATCAGAACGATGATTGGTTTGACATCTGTACTGTTCTACTGAGATTCGCTTGGAGCATTCTGGTGCCTTTTTCCCTTATAATAATAATAACAAAAATAATACTAATAACATCAATAATATTTTTCAAAGCTTTTAATATACTGTACAGTGTACAGTCAAATCAAATTCAAATTCCACAGTCAGTGTTATTGTAGGCTTTGCCCAGTCAAAAATGGTAAAAATTATCATGAAATTTGTGTGTGTTTATTCAACCAAAATGCATTGAAGAATATTATTTTTCTGAAGCAGAAATGTGGCCTTTGTGGCAACACTGACAGCAATGTAAATTTGGCTTTAGCCCCACCCCTTGGATATCATTGCTAAAGTCCTACAAAACAACAGTGTACAACCGTATGTGCTTGTGGGACAACACATGTGTGTTTGTAGAAGAGGCGTGTCTTCCTGTCCCTGTTTTGATTGGTCAGTAGTTTAGTTTCATTGACTGTCTGAAAGGTCCATTGCATTTGGTCAATATAAAAAAAATAAGTGTATGTAAGTTACTTACGGTTGATGGGGCTTGCACAGCAAATACCCGAGCGAAGAACTTGGAAGCACAACACAACACCAGCTTATGGGCATCTATCTGCTGATCACCGACAAGGAACGTCACATCTGTGTGAATTGGTTCCTGGAGCGCATTCAACCAGTGTTCTCCGAACTGCGATGTTTTAATCTCAATCCATGGAGCTTGGCCTACGAATAAAGTAAAGATGTAACGTTAAGGTTCTGTACATATACAGGGTTGTAGCTGTAAGAAAACTAAGGGAGGGTTGTAGAACATTAAGGGTGAGTTGGTAATATTATTGGTAAACTCTAAATAGTAAGAATGGAATTTAAGGCTGGGCAAGGGGCTTTACGAAGGTGGATGGAGGGCTATGAAATTAGCTTTGGACTGGGTGGAAAAACTTTAAGGCTGGGTTGGCCCGCCCTGTAAGTAGCCATTTTGTGTCAAATCAAATTTTTGCATGGCCTTTGAATCTATCATTTAGAAAGTTGATAATCTACCTCATTACTATATATTTTATAAAACTATTTCATAATGCTCAGAAATTGATCCACAAAATTGTATTGATACTTCTTTTAATTATGCTAAGGCTCCTTAGACAGCTAATGGTTTTGAGTGCAGTGGGAAAAATATTTTCATGAGTTGAAAGACTGACTTCCATTCAATGAGATTGAGACTTTCATAATATTTCATCCAAAATAAAATTAGGCTTACATTTCTTCCCATCAGTAAAACACTTCAGTTCCAATTTTGGACAATATTTGATATTTTATGAAAACAATATTAGGTCCACCATCTTTAGAATGGAACAATCAATCATCTTTCAACCAATGAAAACACTGTATTAGATGAAGGCGTGTAATGGGAACAAACAAATGGAACAAAATTTTCCTGATGAGTGACAAAATAGTGTAAATAACCAATGTCAGGTCACACAAAATCTATTTAGGAGTGTTATAAAACACAAAACATCATGATAAAAATGGATTCGCTCAATCAAAGGTCATGCTTTAAAGGAACATGTGTCTACATATCCTCTGAATGTTTAAGAAAATGAATATTTCAATAACAATTTTTTTCATCCATACTCAAAATATTAGGCAAAAACAATACAATGAACAAAGCTGTTATATCTTATATCACCATCACTTACCAGCAGGGGGCATAACAGGAGGAAGGGGAACAGGCTTTGAATTTTTTCCTCGACCAAACAAAGACAATTTTTTAGTTTTCGTATTCTGTGTTACTGCAACATCTATCTGCAGGAAAATAAAGCAAATAATGTTTTAAAGAAATTTGTACATTGTTAACAGCTAATACTTTGCCTCTTTGTTTTATCAACAATTAAAAATGTTATTTTAGTACAACAAAACCAGTTTCTGAACTCTAGAAACAAGGTTGGCGCAAAACAGACCCAGTAGTAGAGGGGAGAGCATGGCAACATAGTGTCTTAAAGTCTATAAAATTTTACATGGTCTTGAGAATATTGATTGGCAGTAGCAGTTGGTAGTGAAGTTCAGTGGCGTATATAGGAGTCTTCAAATGGGAGGAGGGGCTGATGGGGCGAAGCTAGGGTTGGAAATCGCTGATTTTTAAAAATTTTTGACTACAGTACTTGAGCATGATATTTTTACTTGGATATTTTCAATAGGGGAACCAGGGGGCGCAAGCTTTTTTGGGAGAGGGCATGCTCCCCCGCGCTCCCCCCGCAGCCCCTGGTTATGCCACTGGTGATGTTGGTAGTGGAGATGAGTTGCTTGGTGCCTAAGATGCTTGAGTTCCAATCCCAGGGTCTGGGGTCTGATTCCTGTTACGGTTACAGTTATTTTTTTACGGTTATTTTTTTCCGATGACCAAAACAACTTCACTCCCTAAGACTTAGATTAAAATGAGCATCTTGTGTGTGAAGTTGGAACAGCAGTTAAGTAAAATACAGATACTGTAGTACTGTACAGTATTTTATAACATAAGCAATGGAGTAAAACATTACTTACTACATATTCAAATAGTTCTTTCAACCCATCCATGGTAAGGGCACTTGTCTCATGGTATGGCAGACCTAATTCCTTGGCCACATTTTTGCAATCCTTTTGTGGTATCAGGGAGGGAGGGTCAGATTTCCTCAAATCTATGTATCAAAATAAGATTAAATAGTGATTTAGTAGTGAGCAGATTTTTTAAAAGGTGGTCTCATGATGCATTCTATTCATACTGCTGAAATGCAAGTTTACAGAGGTGCACCATCTTTTGGAAGAGATGTTTAACCTCATAGTTTAGTATGCAATATGGTCTACAGTATGTTCACATTAAAGAACACAGTGTGCTCTTTGGATAAAAAGTAGGGGATGGAAAGAAACTTACCAATTTTATTACCAACCAGAACAATTGGTGTGGTTGGGCAATAATGCAAGATCTCTGGAACCCATTTTGAGCGAACATTAGCTAATGAAGCGCTGCTTACAACGCTAAAGCAAAGCAGAAAAACATCTGTTCCTGGATAGGATAATGGTCGCAATCTATCATAGTCCTCCTGCAAAAAAATCAATAGCGAGATGTTCGTATTATTGAAGTGGGCCTATAAATCTATATGTAAAACATGAAATTAAACATGAATGCATGAACTAAATTGACAGAATAAAAATTTGCTCTCCTAAATTTCCATTTAACATTTGTTTCCCTTCATCAGAATTATACCATTTGTAAAATTGAAAAATTGAATTGCTTAATTTGTTGGGCACAATTATTTATTCAAAAAATTAGGACAAAATAGTTTCTTCGTCAATGAACAGACGTAACAAAAATACTGCTCCTAAATTTATTCTATATCCTTTTCTTTTATAGACCTGGCTTTTAAGTGGCTGGCAACCAATATACAGATATTTGTAGTAAAAAGATGGTAAATCAGTAAAAAATCATTTGGTTTTTATGTGTTTCATGTGAAGTTACTTTTAAAGGAGCTATTCAATGTAAAGGTTGAACTTTCAAGGTTTTATACAGATTTTATGATGATGGAAATTTTGACAAACTCAAGCCTTCCTTCAATGGAACAGCACCATCGTTAATCTGTTTTGGGAAAATCACTGAGTCAAGGAAAGAAATTTTCTGCATGAAATCAAGCAGGAAGCCTCAGTTTCCTTTTGATGTTTAGGCAGGAAATCCTTAGCAATGACAGTAACTTGATGATGAAATAATGAAATGAAAATATCAATGAACTAAATTTTTATTTATATTATTGGTTTTATAACAGTTTAAAGGTAACTGTCTTAAGCAAATCCCATTAGTAAAAAAATTTCAGAAATAACATATTAGTAGAAGGCCTCAACATCACTGACATTAAGCCAAATAAAACCATTTGGTTTTAAATTATACTGTGTTTCAGTGCGATGTCCCACGAGATCTGCATGTTTAAATATGCATGACATTATTTAAAAAAACTATTACAAAATTTAGATTCTAACATAGGTGTTTTTAAATTATTTCTCTTGAATATATCCATTCAACTATGTAATTTTATACCATTTAAAGCACTACATGGTAACCGCAACATATAAAAGCAGGGCATGAATGATTTTTACTAACATGTTTTTAACCATAAAAAGTATGAAGTTTGTCTGTGGCCATCAGCATTCAATCAATATCTCACTTCAGCCATCTAACCTATTTTTATGCCGACTCCACTTTTATTGCTTTTTATTATCATAAGTTTCAATAAAAAATATGATAGGCGTGATGTTTTGCCCTACCTGACGTGTTATCGCGCTACAGTACTGTATACTCATTACACTCCTAAATACTTGGATTGATGCCAAGTTAGACCAATTTGCAGACGAGAGATTTTGTTTTAAAAAACCCCTCCCCCTAGTGGTCGTGGGCATGCTTCCCACCTCCCCCTGGAAAAATCCTTCCCTAGATGCTCAGAAATACATTGTTTAGGCTAGTATTTTTACAACTGAAAATAGGTTAAGAATCCAGCTGATTTTTCTTGAGAAGGCATGTCTCAATCACATGAGCCGAGTGCGTGGCGGTTGGTAGTGTGTTCTTTGATCTTATCCGACGACACGCTTTGTAAAAGAATTATATATTCAGTGTTGATGCAGCTAGTTTTATCTAATCTCATCGGAAAACTAGTAAAAGAGATTTTCAAATATTTACCGACCCTTATCAGAATTTATATCGAGGTTACTTAAAATATAAAGCCAAGCACCTCAACCAGGATGTGGTGCGCCACCATTTGTTTGAGTTTGAATGTCTAACGACAAAACCATCCTATTTTAAGCACTGTAATGATGGGTACAGTATTTAGCGAGAGAGCAACAAAGTTAGTTGTTTAAATTATATTGGCAATATTACATTATGAGCGAGATTTTGGTCCTCAAGTGTGCGGGAGTCTCATGCCAAATGCGTGAGCCTTTACGTGTATTCTTCCGAAAAAAATCTGCAAGTGATTTAGGTGGGAATCAAACCCATGATACCCAGAAAAATAGTCTGGTGTCATTACCACCAGACCACCAAGCTTGCGCTTAAAAAATATTTGTTTACACTACCTGTCCAGCTGTATCAAAGAATGCAATGCTGTAAGGCTTTCCTTTATGCATAATATTAGCTGCATAATTGTCAAAGACTGTTGGGACATATTCAGATGGAAAAGAGTTGGTGTTGTAACTAATAAGCATACAGCTTTTGCCGACTGCTCCATCACCAACCACTGTCACCTTGATACTCATCATTCTACCTCAGATTAACTGAATTCTGCAATTAAAGAACAGAAAGAACATAAATGCACAAAGGTAATAATAGAATTTTCTTTAGGTAGGACTACTAAAGTCGCTTAAACTATGTTGTGCCTATCCAGATTGTTAAGTTGGCCTGTACTGGGAACATAGCCTAGAAATCCGTCCGACTGGACATTGCAAAAAATAAGCGCTGATTTCCGCGTAGATTTTGCAGAAAATTAGGCTTATAACCAATGTGTTATGCATTAATTAAAATTGGGCACACCTATTTTCTTACAGTATCATTCGCGCAATTACTGTAAAATGTTTACAGTATATGGGTGTCAATATTAGGCAGACAAATATTATTATATTAATTTTTTACATTTTGTGTTTGAGTTAGGACTACAGAGGTATCCATTATTTTTTTAGTTGGTCTTTTTAGAGGGTTATAATAATAGACACATTTATGCAAATTAGGCTAGAGAAATGAGCCCACTGATTGTTCTGACTAATACATATGCAATTGCTTGTTGGCCACAGCAAAGGCAGACCTTTCAAATGAAATGAATTACTATAGCCTATTATATATTACGTAGGGGTAAAGTTATCATCACTGACTCTTGATTCCCATGCATGGTTGCTTATTGTAGACCTAGATGTGTACATATTAGGTAGGCCTAGGCTTAAAAGCACTATCCATATTATACTAGCTAGTACTGGCCTAGGCCTATCTATGGTCCCCTCCGTTGGTCGATATTCTCACTCTGCCCTGCATTACAGGCGACCTGGCATGTGTATCTTGCCATGAGATGGCCTAGGCCTAGCCCAAGGCAAGATCAACTCTCTGGTCTGGTGTCAAATTTAAGCTTACCTGAAGTAAAAAATGAATCATGTATTATATCTACGATTCGCCGAGCCTGGTACGTTTCGTCTTCTCACCACGTCCATCCTACTGTTGTATTTATACTTACTACACATGCGAGCTAAAGATAGCGATGCTGCAAAGCGACAGTGACACAAAAACTGGGTCTCGCCCATGATCTAAAAATAGCCATTACGTTTAACTACACTACGAAACGCCATTAATTTTGAGTATGCTAACTGTGCTCTACTGTTAAATCACTTAAAACTATATTATGAAATATTTCAACAATTTAAACTAATTATGTCTAAAGTTCTGTGAATATAAAAAACAGATTAATTTGGCTGTCACATTCATAATAACATTAAAAATTATGTATTTGCAGACCATGTTGTAAGGCCCGCCATTGCATTTAGTGAAGGTACGTCCGCCGATAGGTCATTTCTTAAATGTAATTAACTTTGGTTCGGTGTGTCATAATAACAATGGAAGTGTGATGTATGCGGCCAATGCCGCGAACACCGTACTCCTAACCTGAGACAACAGTCCCAACACAACAAAACATTAGCATTAAATAGTGGCCCACCGTAGCGCCGCCCTACAGTACCGACGAATAATACACACAGGACGTTTATGCGATTCCATTTTTTTTTTTCAAGTGGAACGACAAAATACATGCCCTTCCCAATCTGAAAGACTTGTTGCCAAAACTGGTTTCATGCATTTTAGCCTACATAGGCCTATATATTTTTCACAATGACACATTTTTTTCATTTTTTAAAATTTACTATCTATTATTCATTTATTTTCTCTCTTTTCTGTTTCAAAATAATCAAGCATAGTTTCCAATTTTAAAGCCTATTCACCACCTACATGTTTTTTAAACAATGAAATTCTTTATAATTAGGAACATGCACGTACTCCCTACATTTTTTTCAACATAAAAACATAAATAGTCAGGCTCTTGTACACCGACAAGTCTAAGAACGGCTACCATCAGATTAGTGGAGTGATGGCATTGTTGCAAAGATCTGTCGATGGTCGAAGAGAAGCACGACTTAATTATTAAATCGAAACAGCCATTGGCAGCATATTCACCGCAGTGCCGTGCAACACCAAAAATATCAGTTTTCTGTGAAGAAAATGAATAATAGTCGTAATGAAGATTACGGAAGCCCGTTAGTGCCACCAGTGAATTAAAATTTCAGATCCGTTAACTGGCGGCCGTCAGATAATTAAGTGGCGGCCGCCACATAATTATCTGGCGGCCGCCACTTATTTATGGGTACCCAGGTTGCGGTATAGCATTATCTCGATGTAGAACGGGCCATTAAAGCGCATGATTGGTCCTAGTATTAAATACGGTAGCATTTATAAGCATCGTAGTAGGCCTAGCTCGTCATTTTAGCTACTAGCTTGTAATAACTTATAATAGCAGTCATATAGCCATTTCACAAAAATATATCTATATCTTTGCTCTAGCACATCAACTGTATTGTATGTTCTATATTTGCTGTTTATGTCATTGTGATATTGTCTGTTTTATAGCTGGGTTAAATATTAAAGGGCATTAAATAGTGCCCATACTAGTAGCTGGTCACCAGGAATGTAGGTAAGAATGGCCCCGGAAAAAATGGCCCCAGAAAAAATGGCCCCGGAAAAAATGGCCCCAGAAAAAATGGCCCCGGTAAAAATGGCCCCATATGACAGGTAGGTAAAAATGGCCCGAAAAATTCGGTAATAGAAATGATATATATATTTTTTAATCTTCAAATATTTAAATACTGTATAAGCAAGAATTGAATCAAGAAATAAAAAATGGCCCTCAATTATAAAATTAAAGAGAAAAAAAAAAAATAAACAAATGTTGTAAAATACCTTGTAGCAAAAATTTAATTAATAAATCAACATAAAGAATACATATTTGAGAACTAAAATAAATTAGTTTTTAGCTCCTATGAGTAGCTCTGGGAGTAGGTCTAAGTATTTTTCTTTACCGTTTACAATTTATATATATAAAAGTCTGAAAACATGTCTAAATATACCTAAAGATTAGGATCAGAAATTACTGCGTATTTTTTTAAAGATACAGTGCATTCTTCAAGACCCATCTAATTCCAGAATACTCTTTCAAGATGTAACACTGTTCAATCTACTAACACAAAATTAACCCTTTAATCCAAAGACCACCCTAAATTTCCAGGTCTCAAAATTGGTCTCATTTCGATACACTGGCGAGCAGGTAAAACGCCCTTTGACATTTCCCAATCCTATCCTGAACGTGTTTTGATGATTTGAGACCACTTGACAGAACATCAAGACAGATTAACGAGTCGGCGACTTTAAATTCACTTTCATTCCAAGACCCAAAAACGGTACATGTGGTTTTGCATGGATTAAATCGGAGACCATAATTAGAGATATATAATATAGAACTATTTTACTGTTACAATTATTTTTGTTTTGCCTTTTAAATTATTGAAATAAAAAAAAAATAAGAGAGCTATATTTATTTGCATAATTAGATTTTGAAGGCCAGTCGATGTGAGACTAATTAGTAATAAGTCACCCGCGTAGCAGAAGACATTGCAAGTTTCATTTACAATAACTATACCACACTCCATTGCATTTAAACCAGAAACCACATCTTTATAGAAAATAAAAAGATAAAGATAAACCTTGCCTTGTACAATTACTAATTAAAATTGTATGGTCCATGTGGTTGTTCAATTTAACATACACAGAAAGGTTGGTGTACCAATAATGTAGGCATCGCCACCATTCATCAGATATGGTATTATTTAACTGTTCAAGAAGTACATCATAAGGTATTCCATCGAAGACACCTTCTGCATAAAGTGAGCCTTGATTTACACTATAGTTAATCACAACTTTGGCCCTTGTGGCGGCCATAGTAGTTCCTCTCTAATTAACGAATTCGAATTGTAATGGATCAAGTTAGACATTAGTATACTATTAATTTAAGAATCTAAATTCTAAAATCTTAAATTGTGTTTGAGACAATAATGGGGTGGTAATTAATTGGTATAAAATGGTCATCATTAGCCTTTTTAATAATAAGTACAATTACACCGTCATAGAAGTTACTATACAATACCGGATTTAATACAAATATTAAAGGATTCGATAATATTTCAGAAAGATTAGAATTAAAGCAGTGTTTAAGGTGACTGTAACACCTTCAGAGGATGGTGCAAACTTAGCGTTCGTTTGATACACCTTAATGATTGATTCACTGTTAAAAAGGGGAGAATGTAACAATTTCCTGAGATAAATCTTTATATTACTTTAATACAATGTGTTCGACGCTTCGGTATTTTGAACACTTTTTGATTTATTAGTGTCTCAACTTTAGATTCATAATATTTAGTAAGTACATCATATAGAGAAATGATCGTGATTATAGTGTTAACATTTCTTTTACAATCATTAACGGCTTTCCAAAAACAAATGGGATTCCTGTGTATATGCAAGTCTATTTAATGTGTTATACTTTTTCGAAGCAACATTATTAACCGCGAATCTACACATTCTTCTGAGTAGACTTCCTTTGCCAATTTATAACATAAAAACACATGACCGGACCTGATCCTGTTCACTGGATCTAAATAGTAGTCATTGTTCCACTAATGTACCGTACCTTTTTGTGACGCCGACTGGGGCAGTGTTGTTCTGGTTTCGACAATTTTACCGAATCATGTATGCTGTTAGCAGATTTAATATTGCCGGGGAAAGTAGACATATCAAAATCATTGAAGCAGTTTCAAAATTTGTTTAAACATTTTTAAATAACTCTTGATTTCCCAGTCGCATTTAAGATACACACGTGACCGAACGATATTTTTATTTGATATGTTATAATAACTGTCCGTATAAAGGCTTAATTGCGTAAGCAATGAGAAATGGTAAGCGATCGAGACCTTTATTGCCCTCGCGAGAGGTGCATAATATTGCAATAGCGCCAGTGTGTGTTTGTGTGTGTCTGTGGTTTGTGTCTTTTTCCAGGCTCATAACTAAAAACTACTGGACAGATATACTTCGGCAAGGTCAGCCTTCCCTTCGTTTCCACCCTATTCTAGATCCAGATGACACGGAACAAGAGGTGTTGCGTTATGGAGAGTAATGTGTGACTGGAAATGGTCTGCCAGTTGGTTGTTACCATGCGCCAGTGATGTTGGAGTACAGCAAGATGAAACTATTTATGTAATGCATGAATAAAGTTCGGGGTTTGTCGGTTTGTGAAATGATTATTTTAAGTGCTCCCTCCATGCATAAGTGTAAGCTAAATTTGATTGAGCGAAGATATGGTGACAACTATTACGAAGTTCCCTCTTTTCAAGAGGTGATGCAAATGCTTTGTGCGGTGCGGTGGCCCGCGGTACTCATTTTCACAAAATACACTCAGCTGGTTAACTAACAATAGGCCTATGCAAATTTACATGAAAACCCGGTAAGAAAGGTGCAATCACGTCTGTACTGTAGCGTGGGGGTGGGGCTAGCCTACTGATGTACTGTGTATAGCAGGGGACGATGAAGCATAATACGACTAGGCCTAGGCCTAAGTAGACAGTGCAATTTTATGTGATAGAAAGTACACTTTCGAAAAAAATAAATTAAAATAAGAAAAAAATTAACTAGGGCCTAAGAATAATTCAGTTGCAGACGTACCTTGTTTAAGTATTATATGCTAACTATGCGGCTCTTGTAGCCCTAGCTAGACAAGGCACTCATGTGCAAAGCAGTGGTGTTTGTTTATCCATGAAAAAAGCACGCCGGGAAAGTTTGCTTTACCAGGAAAAGGTTACGTAATCTAGCTTATGACGTATGCATGCTAACTATAGCGTGAGTGTAACGTCACCAAAAAATAAATATTTTCTATTATAACCAAAATATTAATAACTACAAGGTTTGTGGGCGTAAATTCCCTTAATACAAATTAAGGGTACCAGCATCTCCTTGCCATACAAATTACAGCTCTTATTGACGTCTCAGTCGAGCAGTGGCGTAGAAAAATATTTTTCATTGGGGGGGGGGGGGATGATTGGCGTGTTAACCAGTGTCGTAACAGGCGTGGAGGGGGGGGGGGGAAACTGCCCCTCCCCTGCCGGGTTTTCCCGGGCGGCCCAAGCC